CCTACAGCAACATCCCCAACTCTAAAGTCCAATACTTCTCTTTGTGAGCAATACCTGTCAACCCTGAATAATTTCTGTTCCTCCTGGCCATTTACTATTACTCCTTTTCCTCTTCGTTGCATGCAAAATACACTCAGCATCATCATCCCATCTGTAGATGTGGTACCAAGTGATTCTACTCTTGCAAAAAGAAGGGTGAGGGAAGAGCAGTATGGCGACAGAGGTCACAAAAATAGATTATAGGACTTCAGCATTACATAAAATAGAGCTTAGTGTTTGCACTGTGAAGACTTAATTCCTAACTGAAAGCTTCATTTGCTGACTTATACCCTGAACAGGGGAAATTTCAGCTGTGCATCATGTACAAGTCAAAACTGTCAACTTTCTTCCCCACCATTTACTTACATAGATCCATAATATGGTTTCTGCAAATGGCACAGTTATCAACCACAATGTCCCATGCCCACAGAGCTACTGCGTTCCACTAGAGAGAGGGGGAAAAAAGAAAAAGAAAAACATAGTTTTGACTCAATTTACAGCACACAGAAATCCTTGTTATTCCTCAAGATCCCATGTATTTTTTAAATGGAAAAGCTGGGATATTTAAAAAAAAAAAAAATCTTAGAAGTCCAGAGTAATTCTTTATCATGAGTTCAGAAGCTTACTAGAAAGCAGTGGTACATTCCTCTCACATACCTCCCAGACCCAGTGCCTTCTTCCGACTTCAGAAACAAGATAACTCCAGTAGTCCCCTTTTTTGTGAAACAAATGGAAACATCTGCATTTCTATTCAAGATCCAGAGGCAAGGATGCAGCTCACCCCACATCCACAATTCTGACGGAAAGGACAGTGCCTTGCAGAAAGACCAATCCAGATGCCATTTTGTTAAGAGGAATTTCCATTATTGGCAAGTTCTTCTAGTAATCACCCCCCAGAGCAGTTGGGGCCAAGAACTAAAATCATCTCTAATGCTACCCTTCCCTGACTCCTGAACAATTTCCTCCGCAAAAAGGTTACTGGGAAATGTCCTACCAGCAAGGCTGACTATAAAAATTTGAAAGTACTACCAAATTAGCCTTTCAAATACTTTGTTTATTAAAAAAAAAAAGAAAAAAAAGGAATACTTTGTCCCATGCTACTTCAGGGGAAAGGTTGGCTACAAATTTCCATGGCAATTTTAGAAAACTGATTCAGAATGAGGACCTTAAGACAAGCTATGGAGAAAAGCATAGCGCCTTTTTATTCTTCCCCACAAAAAACATAATCAAGTCTTTTGTAAATTCATGAAATAGATGGGCTTGCCTTCAATGTTCAAAGCAATCCCACAGCATATTGGAAGCCAGGATAATCTTCATTTACTATATTTTCAGTATACGATTGTTTTGACTGTACCACAGTAAACCTTCTCTACCTAATTCCATTTACATCTCGATGTTTTTGTTGCTTCCCCTCAGTTGGGGATTCTGAAGGAGGAATGCAGGCTGCAAAGTATTGATAAGCAGTATCAATTTCGAGAAGCACTTCCATTTTTTGTTAGTACTGGTATAAAAATTCATCACAATATTACTAGATCTTTTAGGAAATGTGTCAGTAGTGATCTCATTTTTTCTCCCCATCTTCCAACATCAAGTGTAGCCAGCCTTTTGGCCGAGGTACTCCCCTCTCAAGGACTTCATCCACACTTCAAGGCTGCTAGGATGAAAGTTCCCATCACCCTTATCTCTCCCAGACTCTCTGGTACTTAATCTCTTGTCCCATCATAATCCACTCTTATGACCCACAGACCTATACGGAACCACATGTGCAACAAATGCGCCTTGATACCTTGTTGGGGAGGAGCAATGCCACTGACACATAAAAGGTGCCGCTTCCTGCTCCTCTCATGTGCTATTATACCTGTCCCTATTTCCAAAGAACAAACAATCACATCATCCAAACACCTCCTTCTCCATAGACCTGCAGCCCTGTACAGAGCTAGGAGTTTCCATCATCACTGATGACAGCTGCATTTCAAACTACATCTACAAGCAGGAATCACTGGAAATGTTTGCTGATGACCAGTCCAGGGGTCATTTTTTCCTCAAGTTCTACCTTAGTACAAGCCCACACAGTCTCCCTGCTGCCTCTGCACCCTCCTGAAACAGGCTCGGAGTATCACTACGAACCAGCTGATGGGCAAACCGGTGGCACTGGACAGAAGAGGGATATTATGGCTGTTTTGGGGAAACAGACAAAGCCAGGGTGACAGCAGAGCATTTGCTGACTACGCACACGTTGTTATGGCTCGATTTAAAGAGGAAGAAGAAAAAAAAATCAGCCACAAATTTGTGCAAAGCGCCTTACGCAGCATATGGGCCAGAGCGGCCGGGGCTGAGGAGGAGGAGGAGGAGGAAGCAGCACTCCACCCCTGCTCCCCGGCCCGAGCTGCCCAGAGGCTCCGGGCAGCGCGGCCCGGGCCGGGAGCAGCCGCGGCCGGTCAGCGCCCGAGGGGAGCGGGCGGCGGAGCCCCTGACGGGGGCAGCCCCCCCCTCACCTCACCCCCCCCCCCTCCCGCCTGCGCGGCCCACGCCAGCCGCGCCCGCTGATTGGTCAGCCTCCGCTCCACGTGCGGCGGCCCGCCTCAGCCATTGGCCCGGACGCACGCCAAGACACCCCCCCCCCACCCCCCGCAGGC